ACATAGGGTCGCTATGAGTCGTAAGTGACTCGACGGCACATAACAACAACATCATGATGTTGCCTATTGGTCCAGTGATGAGAATTTTTGTTTTCTTGATGTTGTGATGCAATTCATATTGAAGGCTGCAGTCTTCGCTCTCTGGATATAATTATTATACAATTGCTATTGTTGCTATGTGCCATCAAGTTGGAAGTGACTCAACTGATCCGCTATTCAGTCTTCAGGGGCTGTAAATGGCATGAAAAGAGACTGCCTATCATTTTCCTGTGGAGCAGCTGGTAGATCTGAACTTCATGCCTTCAGGTTGGCAGTGCCATTCCTTACCATTTAGGCCACCAGAGCTGTATTAGTTATTATATTAGATTGCATAGTATACCATGTTGTTGTTGTTATGTGCTGTTGAGTTGCCTGTGACGCATAGGGACCCTATGTACAACAGCCTTAAACCCTGCCCTATCCTGTGTCAATCTCACTGTCTCCGACAAACTTACCCTGATTACCACAGTCACTGAATCAATCCATCTCATCAAGAATCTTCCTCTCTTGCACTGTCCCTCAACCCTCCCAAGCATGACCTCCTTCTCCAAGGACTGATCCCTCTTTGCAACATGTCTAAAGTATGTCAGACGAAGCGTCAGAATCCTTGCCTCCAAGGAGCATCCTGGCTTCACCCTGTCCAGGACAAACCTGTGCATTCTCTTAGCAGTCCGTGGTATATTCAATACTCTTCTCCAACAGCACAGCTCGAAGGCATCAATTCTCCTTCTGTCATCCCTAGTCATTGTCCGGCTATCTGATGCATAGCAAGTGATTGCAAGACCATGGCCTGTATCAGGTGCACCTCAGTCTCCTCACTGATGTTGTTGCTCTTTACTTTAGAGAGATCTCTAATTACAGACTTTTCCATCGCAACCTGTGTTTTAATTTCCTGGCTGCTGGTGCCAAGAGTGTTGATTATGGAGCCAAGCAAACTAAAGCTATGAACAATCTCAATTTCTTCACCATCCATCATGATATTGCCAATTGGCCCAGTGGTGAAAATCTTTGTTTCCTTGATATTGAGCCTCAAGCCATACTAACAGCTGCAATCCCTGACCTTCCACAGCAAGTGCTTCAGGTCCTCCTGTTTCAGCAAGCAAGGTTATGTCATCTGCATAATGCAGACTGTTGATGAGTTTTTCTCCATTCCTAATGCCACATTTCTCCTCTGAGAGCCCAACCTCCCCGATAATCTGTTCTTCATAAAGATTGAAAAGGTATGGAGATAGGACACATCCCTGGTGAACGCCCTTCCCAATTTTGAACCATGCAGTGTTTCCTTGCTCTGTTCTGAAGGTTTCACATTATCATGATCAAATGTTCTGGGATTCCCATTCTTCTCAGAGTTAGCTACAGTTTATTGTGATCCACACAGTCAAATGCCTTTGCATAACCAAAGAACACAGACATTCCTCTGGTACTCCCTGCTTTCAGCCAAGATCCATCTAACATTAACCACAATATCCCTCGTACCACGACCCCTTCTAAACCCAGCCTACACTTCTGGTAGTTCTACTGGTGTGCTGTTCCAGTTGTTTTTGGATAATCTTCAGCAGAATTTTACTTGCATGTGATATTAATGATATTGTTTAATAATTCCCGCACTCTGTCGGATCACCTTTCTTTGGAATGGGAACAAATACAGATCTCTTCTAGTCAGTATATCACCATGTTATATTATGTATATCTTGAAGGCAGCTATGCTGGCCTAGTGGGTAAGGCGCTACTCTGCCACTTCAAAGACTGCTCTAAGAGAGAAAGATGGGCAATCTTCTCCCACACAATTTATAAGCTCTGAAAACACACAAGTGGGTCAGGTATGAGTCAATTCCAACTGTCTCTTTGTTGTTGTTATGCCCCCTCCAACTGACTACGTGTCATAATGCTCAGGTGGCCTAGTGGTAAGGAGCTACACTGCCAACCTGACGTGTGTTGGCGTGGACCTTGATGTATCTTGAGCCAGCCTCACCACCTCCCACTGTTACAGTCACTGTGTCAATCCATCTCGTTGACAGTTGCTCTGACCTTCCATTATTCCAAGCATGATGCATTTCTTCAAGGACTGGCCCCTCCTGGCAATACACCCACAGTATGTGAGACGGAATTTCACTATCCTTGCAAACCAGGGAGCTCTGGTGGCTTAGTGCTAAGTACTTGCACTGCAAACCCAAAAATACATGGGTCAAGTTCACCAGCTCCTTCACAGGAAATCTGCTGGAGGATCAGCTATGAGGTGGTTCCAACTTGAAAACACACAATAATTTACCGAACACACACACTTGGAGCTGTCCAAGGCACTTTGTGAACATCAACAGAGATTTGCTTCTGGACAGCAAGGGAAAATGGTTGAAGCTGATGGGGCTGCTTGTGAAAGGTGGGCTTGCGCCTGGTTGAAGCTGGAGTTTGGGGAGGCCAGGGGGAGACCTGGACTGGCGGGAGCTGGGGTGTGAAGAGGCTGTGCCAGGGCGAGAGGGTGGCCAGGCGGCAGTTTTTTGTTGGGTTTTGTTTTTGTTTTAAAATTAAGTTCCAGACTGTTACTGTTCGTCAGGGAAACAAATTGACTGAGGAAAGGCCCCTCGAGCAGGTGTGCTTGGGGTTGTAGTGGTGATAGATGTTGGGGACCAGACAGACAGACCTGCTCAAGGTTGTTGTGAACAGACCCATAGCTGACCCGACAGTGGTTTTTCAGAGGCAGTAAATCAACATGGGAGGAGACTGTCACATCCTTCTCCCGCAAAGCTGCTGGTGGTTTCAAACGGCAAGTCTCTGTGATTACAAAGCAGCTTCTTACAACTAGGCTGCTAGAACTCAAGGCTGGGTCGCTCAATTCACACCTCCTGAAGCTAATCATTGCAATGGGGTGGGGGGCTATGGGCAAACACTTTTCTGAAAGCCTAATGCCAATACAAAATTCTATCATTAAATTTTAGTTTCAGTAAAACAGAAGCCCAGTTTCTCCCACACATCAGATCCGTTTTGTTTTGCTCACGTGTCTCCTTGCCTGCAGCAGGGATCCTAGGTCAGGCTCGAGGGAGCCGAGGAAAACCCTCCATCAGTGAGAGCAGGCCGGCGGGGCCAGAGCACTGCGCCGGGGAGGAGGAGAGGCCGAGTCGGGCGGCTGGCCCCGACCTGGGGGGGACCCGAGAGGCCGCGCCAGGACGGCAGGAGACCGGGCCGGACGGCGGGGAGATCCAAGAGGCGGGGAGGCCGGACCGGGGCGGCGAAGGCCAGGCCGCACGGCGGGGAGACCCGGGAGGCGGGGAGGCCC